AAAAACGAGGAGGGACCCAAAAAACAAAAGAAAAAAAAAAAAAAAAAAAAAAAAAAAAAAAAAATTAAGGCAAAATGAGTTGTTAGAATTTTCATTTCAGACAAACCATCTTTAGCATATATATTAAAGCTCCATAAGAGTAGTTCGGTGGAATGATAGAGAGAACACAGCCATTAGCCACAGGAAGCTACTTAAATTTAGGTAAATATGCATATACTTATCTTAATATTTAATTTATAATTTACATTAATATTAGGAGGTACATGGATAAACTGCAAAAGTCAGACATGCACACAGGCTTAAAAGACTGAGGAATCAAAAACAATGATTTTTCTCTATTGTTGATACCTCAACATTTCATATAATTTCCTTTAACTGAACTAATTTGGTTCAAATCCTATGTGTCCTACTTCAGGAGAGTCACATCCTAATGGGAAAGGTAAACACAGACAAGTAAAACACAGCACAAAGGAGATAACCAGATGTGGAAGGTGACAGGGAAGCTAGAAAGACTGAGTTCAAATCCTGACTCTACTACTATGGTGGGCTGAATAATGTTCTCCACTCCCACCCCATCCCCAAGATGTCCATATCCTAATGCCTGGAACCTAGGAATATGTTACCTTACACAGTACAGGAGACTTTGCAGATATGTTTATGTCAAGGATTTGAGAAAGGGAGATTATCCTGGATTATCCAGGTGAATAAAATATAATCACAAAAGTCCTTAAAAAGAAACGCAGAAAAAGAGAGGAAATGTGATCACAGAAATAGAGGTTGAGTGATGACCTTTAAAGATGGAGGAGGGAGCTATCAGCCAAAGAGTACACGTAGCCTCCAGAAACTGAAAAAGGCCAGCAAAGAGATTCTCCCCTAGAGCCTCCGGAGTAAGTACGGCCCCTGCAGACACACTCTTGGACTTTACACATTCTTCTTAAGCTTATATGGAACGTGCACCAAGATACACCACATTCCAGGCCATAAAACACACCTTAGCAAATTTAAAAGAACAAAAATCATACAAAGTATACTCTCAGACCACAGTGGAATTAAGTTAGAAATCAAAAGAAAGAGAGCTAGAAAAATCCCAAGATACTTGGAGATTAAACAACATACTTCTAAATAACACCCAGATCAAAGAAGTCTCATCAGAAATTTTAAAATATTTTGAACTAAATGAAAATACAACTTACCAAAATTTGTGAGATGCAGCAAAAGCAGTGCTTAGAGGGAAGTTTATAGCATTAAATGAGTATGTTAGGAAAGAAGATAGGGCTTCCCTGGTGGCGCAGTGGTTGGGGGTCTGCCTGCCCATGCGGGGGGCGCGGGTTCATGCCCCGGTCTGGGAGGGTCCCATGTGCCGTGGAGCGGCTGGGCCCATGGGCCGTGGCTGCTGGGCCTGTGCGTCTGGGGCCTGTGCTCCATGGCGGGAGAGGCCCACGTACCGCAAAAAAAAAAAAAAAAAAAAAAAAAAAAAGGAAGTAGGCAGGAGCTGAGTGCTCCCATGAATGACTCAAAAAAAAAAAAAAAAAAAAAGAAAATAAAAGGTGTCTTTAAAAAAAAAAAAAAAAAAGAAGAAGATATAAAATAAACAATGTAATAAGCTAGGATTCTAGGGAAAAAAAGAGCAAATTAAATGCAAAGTAAGTAGAAGAAAATAATAAAAATCTGAGCAGAAATCAATGATATTGAGAAAAGAAAATTAAAAAATCAATAAAACCAAAAGGTGGTTCTTTTAAAAGATGAATAAAATTGATAAACCTCCAGCCAGGCTAACCAAGACAAAAAGAGAGAAGACACAAATTATTAATATCAAAATTGAAATAGGGGTCACCACTACTGACCTCCCAGGCATTTATAATAAAGGAATATTATGACAACTCTATGTGCACTAATTTGATAAATTAGATGAAATGAACCAATTCCTTGAAAGATACAGTCTAGCAAAACTCAAACAAGGAAAAATAGATAATATAAATAGGCCTATATCTATGA